ATGATCTGAAGGTCACAGATGATCTTGATGAGGAAACTGTGCATAGCAGTGAGGACAAAGACTTGAGGGAGTGGATTAAAGAGAAAATTTGAGAACGTGGACAGTAATTATTGAAAATTCTTTCTAAGCATTTTGAAAACTAGTGAGGTTTGTAGAAGAGGATATATGTTCAGGAGAATGACTACAATATGTTTAAAGATGAAGGAAATCATTTGAAGTGACAATAGATGACTAATGAGATCACCAGAATTAGAGGTGATGTTATGCATTTTACGTGTTCCAATCCTTCATGTACCCTTGTACCCTTAGACATGAGAATGTATTAATATTTTTACATTTTATTGTATTCATTCTGAGACATTTCCTATGTGCATTAATAGAAAAATCTGTGTGTTTTTTTCTCTCATTTGTGAACTGGAAAATACTTTCAAAATCTTAATTTTTTGCAATTGTATTTTACTTTTTTATTTTCAAATTACACTTCCTACTCAAAGTAGGTCTTAGTAAAAGTAACACAGAATCAAAGTATGGAAGCCCAGCACCTTAATGTTGAAAACTTCTTCAAGGTTAAACATTATTATAACAGCCACTATTTATTAATCAGACGTTGAAGTCCAGAGAAATAAATGACTTGCCAAGAGTAGGTGAATCAGTTAATGCAGAACACACAGCTCCCAATTCTGAATATGATGTTCTTTTTAGTGCATTGCAAACATAGTTAATAGACTGAAATTGGCTCCTGTGTCTGAAAAGAAAATTACAAGCAGACCTTCATTAGTGAGGCTTTGGGCTAGTTTATTTACTTTCAAGTCAGGTAGAGACTTCTTTTTAACCCACTGTTAGATTACAAACACTTTCTCCAATTCTGACAGTTATTGCTTCATTCTGATGGTAGCTTCCTTTTTGGTGCAGACCTTCATTACTTTACAGAATCCTGTTTTTCCAATCTCCTTTGTCTCCAGGGCTTGTTGGTACTCACCCATGAATATTTTGTCTGCTTCGGGATTCTTTCCCTTTGTTTTCTTCATGGTTTCAGGTCACAGATTTAAGCCTTTATCTACTTGAGGTTTATTTTTCTAAGTTATGGGAGCTAATAGCCTACTTTCATTCCTCTGTACAAAGATGGCCCATTTTTAGCAGTATTTGCTGAAATAAATATCTTTTGCCCAGTCCGTGTTCCTGTGATCTTGGCCGTGCATGCCTGTATTTGCTTATAGATGTCTTGCTGCATCTCACCGGTCTGGTGATCTGCTTTTATGCTCATACTATACTGTTATGAGTAGAATAGATTAAATCATAGAATATATTTAAAACAAATAGCATTAGAGCTGTTGCTTCTCTCTTTTTGGGGGTTGGCCTTGGGTTTCTAGGTCTACATGAATTTTAGAATTACTTTTCTTTTTTCAGTGAAAAGTATCATTGACATTCTGATAAGAATCTCATTGAAACTAAAACTGTTCTGAATGCTGTGACTAGCCTTGGTTGAACTAAATGGATCACAAATCAAAACATAAATGCCTGAATCTGGGAAACAGACAATTGGAAATGAAGGGGGCTTATAATAATGGCAGGGAGATAAAGAGAGATGGGGCTTGAATAGAAGTAGCCAGAAGAACAAAATTAATCAATAAAAACACTGTGTAATTTACAAATTACCTGGTAGAGATAGAAAGACAAACACAGCCAGAGGTCCTTTAATAGTATGTTAGAGTGAAGAAAGACAGTAAGAGAACCTGGAGCTCAGAGAGAGAAGAGGTCAGTAAAACATGATGTTGAAAGTTTAAGTGCTGAAAATTGATCCCTTTTATAGGGTTCTGAGTATTTATTTGCTTACTTCACTATTTAAGATCCTAATGATGATTAAATACTAAAATAATTACAGCTTACTTTAAATTTTCTATTTTAATTTTTAAGTTACAAGTATGTGTGTGTGTGTGTGTGTGTGTGTGTGTGTGTGTGTGTTTGTGTGTGTGTGTGTGTGGGCATATGAGTGCAGTGCTCATGGAGGACAGAAGAGGGCATCTGATTCCCTGGACTGGAGTCCTTGGCAGCTAAGCCATCCAACTTGGGTTCTGGGAGTCAAACTCAGGCCCTCCAAGAAAGTAATATTCAGCTTCAACTACTGAACCATCTATCTAGCCCCCAACAATTTACTTTTAATAAATGCTTACTCTGAAACTAATATTTTTCCAAGTTTAACAAGGTGTTCCCTCAATAAATACGTTTTGGTGATGTACTACTCAAGGCACTGAAGATTAACCTACATGTTAAACAGATAAAAATCTTTTCCTTTAGAAAGTTTCGTTTTAAGAAGAGTAGTCAAATAATTTGAAAACAAAATAGATCAGCAAAGCGTTTCATTTGAAATGGTGATTAGTTCAGGGTCACAAAGGTCAGTTTTGCATGAAACATTTACAGAAGATCTCACTAATAGGATATTTATATAGAGAACTGAAAAGAGAGGGGAAAAGTCATGTGACTATCTTTGAAGAGAACATTCCAGGCAGAGGGACGAACAATCAGCCAATATCCTTGATGTTCAGTATATGTGGTCTGCTCCAGGAATATTTAAGAAAACATGTCAGTTGACTCAATGAAGAGTAAAATGAGGAAACAAGAGTATCAAACAGAGATCATGGAAAGCCTGAAGGTTATCACAGATTTTGACTCTGAGTTGAAAAACTCTGGTTAAAAGAGCTCTGCAATGTGATGTGTATTGATAAAAATCATTCCATATGTGTACATAAGTTGTGGTAAAGTGCCAAGAAAAAAGCAATAAGATAAATTAAGAAGTCATTTCAATAAATGAGGGTAGGGGCAATGATGTCTTGGAACAACGCAGGAGTAGGGCATGTGAGTGATTATCAGTTGTCTCCTCAGGACAAACTGAGTTTGCTGATAGTTGAGGTACACACTGTCAGAGAAGACTGGAAGGTGAGTCCTGAGAGGGTGAAAAGATGCAGCTGTAGTAGTCAACGTAAGAGAGTCTATGGAGAAACTGTGAAGAGACTATGAAGACTCCAAGTTGCAAGGGTGAGAGTAGATGTTCAGCTTCATACTAACATTTGAGATATCAGACATTTAAGTAAAGAAAATTTCTCCTAAGGGTCTTAAATTCAGATGTCAGTTTAGACAGGTAAATGAGACAGAGGAAAAGTACAACAGGAAGTTGAGGTAGGTCTGGAAGGGAGTTGAGCTGGGAAGAGGATGGCGAAGAATCTGGGAGTGAATAGACTGTCAGTTAGAGAGAGAATGATTTTATGGGACTATGATGAGTTGGTTTAAATCTAAGGAAGCTGAATGTCAGGGGAACAGTAGAGAAATAGTGTGAACTGGAAGAGGAGTCAGAATGAGTCCCAAATGTATACATAGGGGGTAAGTTGACATTATAGGACAATACAAATGTATAAAAAGGTTTTTCAATAACTCTTTATACATCTGTCTGTCAGTATTCTCTTTTTCGTGTGTCAGTTGTCAGTTAGGAAACTGTGTTATATTATGCTACTTACTTCTCCCTTTCAATGTCTTTTACTTCTAATTAATATATATGTAATTTGTAACATGTATACATTTTTAACATTTCTGGCTTTTTATTGTTGGTGGTGCATTTTGTTTGTTTTTGTTCAATGTTCTCAAGTGGCTTTTATATGTGGTCATCTAATTCATCCACTTCAACCAAAGTGTATATAAGTAGACTTCATGATTTCTCTTCCTAAAACGTTCTTGACTCTTTGCACCTCAGAAGTTTAAAGACCTCTATAATCACAGTAGATACAAAGTAGAATCTGTGCCAAATCCATTTCCGCCCCCAGTATCTCCACTGCTGTCTTTAATTAGTACATTATGTCCAACCCTGAGTTTTAGCCTTAAGGCCTGCATGAGTTGTGTAACTGTGTCTAGGAGTATTTCCTGTGCTGGATCAAAACTGTCTGTCTACCTGCAGACTGGGCATCCTTTAAGTGGAAGCAAGAACAAGGAGCAGGGTGCAGCTTTTCTCAAATAACCATTCAGAATGTTCCTCATAGGTATATTTTGGACGACTATACTTATTTCCCAGATGGAAGGTATGTGTTATTCTCTTCTGTAAGGTTTATTTATTACACCTGATCCATTATCTCTTTAGCCTCAATATTTAAACTGTAAGTTATAAAAACTCTAACTGCATTGGTGACTTGTCTGAAGATATCATGTTGGGCTTAGACTGGGTTACAGGTGATCATGAACTTGATGAGTCTGTGAAAACTCTATCACTCTTAAACACTGACAATCATAAGAGAGGGAAAGGAATGGGTATTTACAAAATACCTGCAGAAGAATAGACACTATGCCAGCCCTTAGCTACCTTGTATGCCAGAAGTTTTAAAATCTTATACTATTATCCATTTTATCTGAAAATACAGTTTGTAGATCAGGAAGACTAGATAGGATACTAGTAGTCACACAGCTTGTAAACTACTGAACCCTTGATTCATATCTGAGTATATTCCAAAAATCCTTATTATTCTATCTTTATTGTTGCATGGTCCAGAATAAATTCCCAGCTGACTGCTAATGTGATAGGAGATGATAAAAGATAATGGTTAGCATGGGCATGGGGCTACCTAAGATTATCTAAGCCATGGAAGATTTGCACTTTACCTATGGGAGTTAAGACTTCAAATGCAACTTTTGCTGAGGAGAAAAAAAAGAAACAAGAGTTATTTAATTTTGAAATAGGTCATTCCTGTACAGGCTTTGGCAGGAGGTAGCATCTGGAGAGAGAGGTGGAGAATAAAAATAAGAAAGGTGAAAACAGCCGAAGGACACTATGCCTTTGCCCCCCTCCTCTAGTGTTGCTTATATCTTCCTCATCTGTCAATAGCCATCTCAGCCTCCTCCCGTCACCAACCAAAGATGATGTGAGTGCATATCTGGTAATTGGAAGTACATAAATCTATTTGTCACTCACTGGAAGACGAATTGAAATAACACATGGGTTTTCCCTTTATGTTTTCTTCTAGAAAAAGTGATTGTTGGAGTTGAGGGTCAAGAACTGGTTCGTCCTAAAAAGCTTCCCCTTATGTGGAAGCGGGATCTTGAACACATCCATGACTCTGATATGCCGGTATGCTTTGATTTAGTAAACATGACTTAATGGCTTTCACAGCTGTGTAGTAGTGACTTTTCACCAACCTCTGCAGATCTATTTATGAGAGCTAGGATGTGAGGACCTTAAAGATCAGGGCAGACTACATTCTAATGTTGTAGACAATCTTATTTCATTTTCACTGTACTTTTATACATGAATGTAGCAAAGGAAATGATGATCCATGGAAGACTGTATGAATTCAGAAAAAGATGATCAGAAAAACATGTAAATAAATACTGGTAAACACATATGAAATATTGACAGAGTAGCCCTTTCCCAGGACAGACCAATTTAAACACAATTGCTTGGCATGTACTATAAATTATATCTGGGAAAGCATGAAAGCAAGGCAGAAGGCCATATCCAGATTCAGGGTATACTGACCAGATTGGTTCTAAAGTTATGTTCTGACATCCATCAAGAATAAACATGTATTATAAACTGAATTCAAATGTTTAACCCAGGAGGCATGAAATAATATCCAAGAACAATCTGGTGAACAAAATGCACTTGAGGTAAAAGGCCCTGTGCCTTTTTTCCTGGAGCCTTTCTCTTATTCCCCAAGGCATTTTTTCATCATGGGTCTTTCTTTGACTGCGTTCTGACAGTGCAAGAAAGCTGACTCTGCCTCCAAGAAGGAATGAATATGAAGCAAACATGGGTTTCTGTTTTGTAGAGGAACCTTACTTGCTTTACTGCATTTGCCTGGAGGTAACCGACCCTCAACAGGTTAGCAAACAAAAGAGAGGAGTGAAGGCCTGGGCAACCTATGGGGCCATGAGCTGTGGATCAATGTCTATCCCTGGAATACAAACAGTCATCGTGTGCCTATAGCACAAAGAGGGATGCTCTCTCAGCTTGGACTCTTAGGGGAGTTCCTGGACCCTACCCAGAGTGAAGTGAGAGACTATAGATATCCCCTATGTGGAAGGATTTGGCAATAGGGTGGGAGGGTGGGGGGGGGGAAGGGGAGTGCTGGAGGAGGGGAGGGAGAAGGAACTGGGATTGAATGTAAACCAAGCTATTTAAAATAAAAAAAAAGAGAGGAGTGCTGGGACTTTGAGAGAGTTATTTCCTATTTCTTAGTTTCAGCAAGGTTGTCTCCCGAGTCTTTGCAGACTTGTGTGATGCACCCTCAATTTTTCTGAGCTGGCAACTTTGGAGTGAAATCCCCCACCTTTCTTTTGCTCTTGCAGATTTTCATTGGGTAGGCTAACTTGATTTACAGATTCTGTAGCCCAATGGGACAGCTCTCACAGGAACAAAAAGTACCTCACCTCATTTCATTGGAGTGTTAGCATTTAAAAATACCTCAAATATTATTATCAAAAGAATATTTACTATTTAAGACAATATATAAGAGATGAAGCAAGCATTATAATTTATTCAATAACCAGTATTATAAAGATCTTAGATGTGTGCCATTAAAGAGTAGAGATGGCTCAGTTGTTAAAGGCTAGGCACAAAACCAAAAACATAAGAGAGCTATAATTAGATATTTGCAATTTACAACATAGGTTTTATCTTGGGTTCACAGAAAATACTGACAGGTCTTCTGTCCTGACAATGACATAGTACAATCCTCTCTTAGTGCCATGACTTACTGGAGAATTAACTTAAAGAATAGGCAACATGTATGAACAACAACTATGGACCAGCATTATAATGAAGCATAAAAAACAAACAAACATAATGAATCAAAACTCCAGCAAATCCCTAATAACTATACCAGAAGAAAACAACTGTGCCAATAGTCATCAAAGGAGAAAGTTAGAACTCTGTCATTCATTACTGACAGCATCTACAACTAATAAGCCATCCTGTCAGGACAAGACACTCCTGTTGGCATTTCCAGCCACAGCTGCCATGAATTGTGCTGGTAGCATTTCTAAATATATGTCCGTTTTCTTCAGAGCATCTTGCCAGTACATATCAAAAGACTTACTTATTTTATCTATGTTGTTGAAAATACAACTCTAGCTGCAATGAACATCCCTAACTAAATTTCTATATGAGACTATTTTATACTAGGAAGTGGACACAATTATTTATGAAAAAAGAGGAGTAACATAAAGTATACATACAAAATTGTGTTTCTTTTACTTTTTTATTTTAGAAACAATCTTATTTTACATATCAATCCCCCTCACCCTCTCCTCCTCCCATGGCCCCACCGATCCCCCAACCCACCCACACCTACTCCCCAAGAATAATGAGGCTTTTCATGGGGGATCATCAAGGTCTGTCACATCATTTGGGGAGGGCCTAGGCCCTCTTTCTTGTATGTGGGCTGCAATAGTATCCCTCCATAGGGAATGGCTCCCAAAGTCCATTTGTGTTCTAGGGATAAACACTGGCTCCACCGTTAGAGTCCCATAGACTGCCCAGGCCTTCTAGCTGGCATCCACATTCAGAGGGCTTGGTTTGGTTTGGTTCTTCAGCGTTATGACTGAGGTCTTTGTACTTTCACTAGGTCAGGTCAACTAAACACTGAGCCATACTTTTGGAATCCAGTTGTAGAGAGGGAGAAGGGAAAAGCAGAGGAGCCAAGCTGTGCTGGAGAAACCCACAGAAACAAAATTGTTTTTAAAACGCAAAAGGAAAGGTCTTTTATAAAAACAAGTTAATGTAAGTTATATAAGTAAATATGAAGTGATTTGTTCATTCCTGAATGAAGGGGGAATATACATTATCCATTTTATTTCCTTAGTAGAAATGTCTTTTTAACTAAATTATAATTGGTAAAATCATCCTTATAATTCTCTCCCTCTTTAAGTTTACCTTTGTCTGTGTTTCTTTCCTGAAGTTACTGTGGGGAGCTGTAGGTGGGTAATGGTAACTGAACCACACTCTATCCACCCTCTTACAGTAAATAGATTTGGAAGTCACAGGGACAATCTTGTCTTCCAGGAAATATATGAAGAAGAAATGTTGTATGAAATAAGATTGGGCAGAAAAACTTTAATCCTTCACCTTCTGAAATCAAGGTAAAATTCTTTGTTTTGTTTCAGTAGAGTCTCTTATAGCCCAAGTTATCCTTAAATTCACTATCTGGATGACAATGACCTTGAACTCCTTATCCTCCTACCTCTGCCACCCTAGTGCATAGGATTACAGCTGTTCACTACCATGCCCAGTTGATATCAAGGTAAGGTCTACTGTGGTGGCATATTTTATCCTCTTAGATGCATATAGTATCCCCATTTTGTATAGATTTCCTGTAATGTGAATTCCTCAAGTCTTTATGAATTCTTCCTCTTAAGACACAAGCCTATCATATCTCAGCAGCAAAAGGATTATAAATTCTGCTCTCTGGTTACTAATTTGCTCTTCCTATTTTGATTCTTGGGAACATTTTAAGATTCAGTTTGTCCCTCTGAGAAGAATATTAGTACACTGATGCAAACTTGAATCACTGTTCATTCTTAGTAGGAGGGAAGCTAATGATTACAGAGAAGTTTCTATGTGACCTTCTTCAATGTTCTTTCTTATTTCCCTCAATACCCATATGAAATGTGTGCATTAAAACAAAAAAAGCATGCTGGAGGCCAGGATGCATTTCTTTGAATATTTAAGATCATCTTGACAATTCAAGACACCATCTGCTGAAACATTAGTTGAACTTTTATTAAATCTATAAATCAGTGTGGCTAGATCTGTTTGACATGTCAAAGTGTCTCTTATTATGACTCTGTTTATGTAATACACAAAGATATGTCACTGAGCTCCTTTATCAGATTTGGAAAGTACACTGAGAGGTGTTTGGGGATAAATGTGTCTTAGCACAAGTGAAACAGTGTATGGAAAAATCTGAAGACAGATTGAAGGAATTGCATTTATACATAACAGGGCCATATCTAGAGCAGCCATTCTTTGAAATAGTCACAGTGTAGTTTACACTTTTTGGTTTTAAATGTTGAGCCATCCTTGCATGACTAAGTTAAAATTCTATTAGTACTTTACAAATTATTTTCAGAAGTTTTTAAAATACTTCTTTGTTAAAATTGCCCATTTTTCCAGAAATTTTTGCAGCATGTATAATTGTATGTGATTCAGTTTTTGAAAGGTTTCCCATCAGTGTGTTTGATACTGTATGTATGTATGTATGTATGTATGCATGTATGTATGTATATGTGTGTATATAGGCATAAACATGTGTATATGTATGTTTATGCAGGAAAGGACTTCTTGAGATTCTAAGGCATCTTTGAGGGTTCACAACCATATGACTGGTTTTGTATGTAATATTTTAGGACGAATAAATCTCATTACTTCTCCTCTCTCTTTCAGGGAATTCCTCACTTCAAATTACAGTGAGACGCACTACAATGCAAAGGGAGAGATGATCACTAAGCAGCCACAGATCTTGGTACCTTGTAAAGCCTTCGTCTGCCTCCTCTCTGAAACCATTAATTCCTGATAGTGCTTTAAACACCAATTCCAGATTTACATATTGTTTCAAAGCTACTCGAAAGGAACTAGCCCTGAGTTGACTACTCCTACCTACTAAATGATGATAGAATGGAAACAGAACCCTTTATAAATGGCGGTAGAATAGAAACCAGGAGTTGTTGAGTCCTGCAGGAAGCTGATCACTTCCTAACAAGCAGATCAAAAATTGTATTATTTCTTTCTTTGCTAAGGCTTCTCTATATTCACTATGGTGGTAAGTGAAAAGAGACTGAAGCAGGAGTCAAAATAAGCATAATATATCTTGATTTGTTTGTAATTAAGTAAAAGGGATGAATTCTAAATACATGAAACAACTTTCGATATCTACAGTGAATTAGTTCTTATGTGGTTTGTGACACTTGTCCAGCCCTACTGATACACTAGCATTAGGGTCTCCTTTTTATTCTCTGGAGAAAGTTTTATATAAATCATTACTATTATTCTAGAGGTAGAGAATCTATCTTTTCCTTCATCACCTTTGCAGAACTTTCTATCTATAGTCCTTAAATGAGAATGACTTCCTCTGCCCAAAAGTATCCTTTCAAAACTCTATTTTCTCCATATAAATCAACTTTAAACTGCTTTAAGATATACATCACGATGCAGCGTTAAAATTGAGGACAAAAGGAACACAGAGGAGCAAGCGTGTGGCACTTGGAAGGTCACAGAAAGTGTCATCTATGGGCTGATAAGCAGACAAAAGAGATGAGAAGAGTCATTGCCCGATGGAATTACTATGAGCAATGTACCAAGCAGGACTAAGGAAGAAGCCAGCTGGACGGAAAATAAGAGAGAAGGGCATTGGGGTGGGGTGGCTGGAGAGCAAGAACTAATTTTAGAAATATCAAAAGCTTGACTTGATTTAAGAGGCAGTTGAGGAAATGACAGAACTTTGTAGAGGATTTGAGGGTGGACAGACAGAGCCATATTTATAAGAGAAAGGTCACATCTGAAACTGGTCTCATTGCCTAATAGACAAACCTATGAGGAAATAATTTATATATAGGTTTCCCCAAAGTAGTCATTCAGTTAGGACAAAAGGTCCCTAAAGCAGGTTCAAATGTCTTATTTAAATGAATCCAGGAATACATTCAAGGCAAGTGTCACTTATGAAATATTGATTCATTCTTAACAGAAATTGATTATCAATATTTTTACAGTTCCAGCTTTTATATCTGCCTTAACCAAATCTTCTGTTTTAGAATCACTGTTTTTACCAAGGATCTATCATACATGAATTTGATTCTGCTGCTAGTATCAGTACTTGTAACGGTCTGAGGTAAGGCAGAATAACTTCCTAACTCATTTCCTGTAGATTTTCATGACAGCAATTTGACTGATTTCTTTTCACCAAACAAAAAAGTTAGCAGAAAGGGGCCACTGTGTGCCCTCTACAGTGAATGTAAACTCTAGCCTGTGGTTTACACTCAACAATAAGTGCCTAACACACAACCCTTAACAAGGTGCCTCCAGCACAGGATAGAGGATTCAGAGCTGGTAGATTCCAGTACACCATCTAGCATGTACTCTTATATTAGAGGTCAGGATGCTCAAAGTCCACTGTTGCTTAAGAACACAGAACTTGCTAGCATTGGACTGATTCCGCAGTGCAGGTCCTCTTATTCTGAGGTCTGTGGTCTCTCTGACATTACAATAGCTCAATCATTTTTCTTTTTACTATGCCAGGCCCATTCTTGTTTAGAAAATAAAAAGTCAGAAACAAAGCTTATAAGCTTATAATTTTTCTGTAAGTCTTGGACCTAAAGTTTAAAAAAAACAGTTGAGAGGAGAGATGGAAGGCTGAAGAAAAAAATGTTCTGTTTTCATTTGTCTTGACTGTTCTTGAGTGATTCTCAGAATTCGCATTTGAACCTCTTTCATGATAAAACTACCCAATGGTCATATCTGTACATTTAGATACCTACTCTACAGTTAGTACCTGAAAAATATATCAAATCTATGCAAAACTTTTGAGGCAACCATGGGTGATAGCTGCTTTGCACCTGTGCTCCAAGCAGAAATCATGGTGACCAGCTTCTAAGGACAATAGTCAGGTTGACTTTTTCTTAGAAATGGTGACTAACTGAGTCAAAGGCCTTGTGCTCTGCTACCCAACACACCCAACCCAGGAGGGTTTGATCCTGGTAGTGTCCCTTTCTGAGAAGACAGATTGGGGGAGATACAGACTTGAATAATGTTGTACCCCCATTTCCACAGGGGCTTCTTCAGAGTGAATGAGCAACGGTATCTCATAGAACCAGTAAAATACTCAGATGAAGGAGAACATATGGTTTTCAAATACAATGATGCTAAGGCACCATATGCTACCAATTATTCCTGTGCGGGGCTCAATTTTACCAAGAAATTTGCTCCGTTAGATGCTAAGAATATAAAAGAGCACAAAGTGGAAGTGAGTATTCTAAATCCTCTTTAAGAAACAAAACAAAACCCCCAAACCAAAAATACCACGATTTCCTTTATAATCTCCCAAGAAAAAGTCTATGCACACAGCGATGAAATGCAGGTTGCATTCTGAATTGGAAATTCATGGTCCAAAGACTGAACTTAAACTTCTTTATGTCTATGTAGAGAGTATTTACTCTCTTATGGAAATCCCAGTTTGTTCCATGAAGGGAAAAGCTTCCCACCACCAATAGGTGTTTCTTTGTTGAGTACCTTGATGGATAAATCACTACATAGTTCAGCAAAGAATGACTCAGTCAGATCTTTGCAGAGTGGCCCTGGGCACTGTTCAGAACATGCATTTGCCCCATACAGTTAAAAACTTAGAAGAATTTCCTGGTATTTGTGTTTCCTATAAAAGAAATGCCTGTAATTAGCTGTGTTTATAAGTATTCTTGGAATTGAGAATAACACACAGTTAAAAAAAGGTGGGAGTATTGGGGAGAAGTAGGAGAAATACAGACATCTTAGCAGTTATTTCTCAGTTATACATACATGTATGTATACATATGTATATGCATATATATAGGTTTATGTAAATACACAAATATATGGGTCAGTAGCACATGAGCTTAGGCACAAACTACTGTGTAAATGAACAAAGGGAAACCTAAAATATAAAAATACTTAATTTGAAATAATTTATAACTCTTATTTTGAGTATATAGACTAAACAAAAAAGACAAAACAGCAAAATATGGAATGTTACTCAAGGATTATTAAGATCTAATGTGTAGGTACAGGTTTTTTAATAAGACAAGTTCATAGACATATTAAATACACTCATTTGCTTCACCTTCAAATATAATAGTATTAAGATTTCTCATCATGAAAATTTTGGGTTTTTTCATATTAAATTGGTAATATGTTTCATTGAATTTTCTGTTCACTTTTAGGGCTTCCACCAAGAAAAATTCATTGAACTGTTCATTGTTGTTGATGATTATGTGGTGAGTTCTCACATGGACATTAGACTTTATTTCTCTGTAAAACTACAGTTGTAGTTCTCATTTAGAGAGAAAGAAATTCCACTAAGTTCCATTCTCAATTCATACATCAGCTTTCAGCTCCTCAAAACTTATGTATTATAAGAAACTCTTGAGTCTCTTCACTATCTTACAGATTAATACAGAATGACCCTTACTACTGCAACTAATAGAAGTTTTGAACAATTTATAAAAGATTGAAAACATGTCAATAATCTAGACTTGACCTCAAAAGAAGGCGCTGAAAACTTTCAAATGCTAAAAGTTAAGGAGAACATCTTCATCAGAATGGGAAGTAAAATTCAGAGGTTGTGTACCTGCATTTAGAGCATATAGGAAGACAGAATGCAGGGCTTAACCATTCTAATGAAGGAAGGGATAATTTTTCCCAATAGTACCTCTAGCCATGAAGTCAACCCTATTACCAAAGATCTCTACAAGGACCTAGGAAGATAGGAGAAATTCCTGCCTGTCTGCCTATAGCCATAACAGGGAAAATGGCAACCACAGGAAGACAGATCCCAGGTCTGAGGTATGCACAGATGCTCCACAACAAGCATGTCAGCACCTAGTGTTCAATTTCTGATATGCCAAGCAAAACTTGCAACATAAAAACCATTTGGAGATGTGGTAAACAAGTAGAATGTGAGTAGAAATTTACCAGCAAAGCCATTTCAATACTCCTAAATAAAATGGACCTCATGAGGCAGCCAACCAATGTAGTAAGTTGTAGTTCAGTTGTCCAAGAGCTGCCAATCAGCCAATAATACCTCAATGATTCTCTATAATAGAGGTGTAGATAAAGTCATTGAAATATGAAAAATGAATAGAGCAAAATGAATAATGAGAGACTATATAAAGTGATGGACTTTCTGAAAAAAACTAACATCCATAAGAAAAAAGTGTGTATCTTTGAATGAATTAAACAGAGAGTAAACACTCTGTGAAGCAAAGGACAAAGCAAAGAAATCGCTTATGAGTGCAGGGAAGTAAAGAGTACAAACTATGAAAGAGGTAATGAACATGAAAAACAGGATGAATAAGTAGTGGTAAGTGCATGCAGGTAACCACATGGCAGACGGTCTCTGAGAGGCAGTCCTTGAGTTTTCCAGAAATAAAGAAATGTTAAATAATATAGCAATATGTGAAAAATTCAGAACAGTGAAGATATATTTTTCATATCAGTTGAAGCAAAGAGATACATTAACTCTGCAATTTATATGGAGTGTGCAATAAGCAATAGGACATTGTGCATATTTCAAGAATAAAGCATTTAAAACATCACTGAAAATATTATTATCCTCAAATTTGGCACCAAGTATTGGGCAGTGACAAAGGTTTGGGGAAAGAACACATACTTCAAATATAGTTGGTATCAATGAACTAAGAACTTCAAGGAGAAAGAACACTTTTGTCTGTGTTCCAGGTAGTGCCAAACACTGAATAAAAGGTTGGCAGTAAAGGCACAAGCTACTGTTAGAAATCATGTTTATCCTCTAGAACTTAAGGATTCTGAGGAAGAAAAGAAAACAATGCTAAATGGTAGTAAAAACCAAGATGTAAAAAACATCTTGAAAGAGAATCTAGTCAGTAAAATTTGTGCAAGATGCCTAGAAGATGAAGAGTAACTGCTCAGTATAGTTAAGAGGAAGGCACTTTTTGACTATAGAGAAGAATTTCAGAGACTTCCACCAGGATTCAGAAAAGCATTCTTGGCTCTGCTTTTTAGCATGCAAGGAAATTGACCTTGTGAGTGTTCCAATGACTAGTGAAAAAAATAGTTACAAGAATGGAATCAAAGTCAGAGCAGTTACATCTACTTGGCATTTTGAGCTTTGTCTTACAAAGAAGGGATGGCCAGCTTCCTGTCCCTCTGTGGAACATGGTTCAATGTGGCATCTGTTTTAACTGTGATTTTGTGATTTGTTGCCCTCAGGTATTCAGGGGTCGGGGGGAGTAAATAGGCTGATGCCTGCAACATAATGTCTATTGTATAACATTAATAATTGTGACTTGGGAGTAAAAATGAGCAATTAAACAGTTGCTTTTACAAAAAAAGCAGCAGATGTAATGTAACATAATTGGAAAAGGAGATGACCAAATTAAAAAGAGAAGACCATAAAGTAGCGCTAAGTCAAAACACATCTTCAGGGACTATTATGTGTAGTTATTTATTTCAAAAACTATCCTATTTATCCCTAGTATATGACTGGACTTAGGGAGCCCATTCCAAATAAAGGGACTCTTAGTCTAAACACATGGGGAAGGTTCTACCTAGGCCCTGCTCCAAATGATATGACAGACTTTGAAGATCCCCCATGGAAGGCCTCGCTCTCCCTGGGAAGCAGAAAGGGGATGGGATAGGGAGTCGATAGCATGCAGGATAGGAAGGAAGGAGAGGTAACTGGGATTGACATGTAAAACAAGTTTGCTTCTAATTTAAATTTTAAAAAAAGAGAAACAGAAAAAACAAAACCATTGTCTCCTGTCTTCATAATTTGTTCAGTTTTTAACTCCCTGAAAAAGAGAATTGTTTTTCATTGCTGTAGAGGCTATCGTTCTCTCTCTCTTTCTTTCTTTCTTTTGTTCTTTCATTCTTCCTTCCTTCCTTTCCTTCCCTCCTTCCTTCTTTCTTTCTTTCTTTCTTATCTCATAGTAAGTGAAATATTTTGCTGGGCTGTTTCTCAGTATTGAAAATAACAAGTGCTGCATTTATGTTTTCTAGTACCACAGGAATAGTAAACCCCAAACCAAGCTAAGGAAACGAATTTGGGGAATGGTCAATTTTGTCAACATGGTAAGTTTTGCTATAATTTGAATCAGTCTGTAAACATAAATACAATGGACTTTTTTAGGGCAGGCACATGAAAGGACTGTAGTAATCACCTTCACATTATGTTAGCTAAACCACAAATCCACCAGGCTAAATAGTTATTAAAACTCACTTCAAAACAGTCAGCAATGAAGTTTTGGTTTGCTAAATAAATTACACTTAATATCTAGATAACTTCCAAAACTTGCTCACTGATGGGGACTGGTGAGATGTATCAGGATAAAGAGAGTTTTTTGATGCACAGCATGAAGGTGAAATCTGATTTCAACCTTGGGATCTTCAGGAATGAAGAAGGACAGATGCCACCAAGTTGTCCTCAGACTTCCACACATGTACTTGCCATATGCACCTGTTGCCACCATACACACACATGCACACGCACACACACACACACATGCACACACATGTACACACGCACACACGGACATGCACACACACTCACATGTATGCACAAATGCACAGATAGTCATGCACACACCACAATAATGATAAGTAATAAAAAATTTAAAATCTGTGGTCACACAAAAATTATGAAGCAGGGTATCAGTAATCTAGGAACTAAGCACATAAATGTTATACCACACTACTTTCAACTCAGAACTCTGTGTCTGTGTATAACAAAAAATGTCATGCTGTGATTTATAGTCTATGGCTTGTCATTGGAATCAGGACAACTTCACTATAATCTATTATGATTATTAGTAGATCTAAACATTACTGAGTGTGAGCTGCTACAAAAACAAACTGTGGGTTGTTCTCATCTTCCTTTGCGAATCGTTTGAACACATCCCAGGTCAATTAGTCTGGTAAGGAGACCCTGGAAGGAATAGGCCATCTAGATTAGTGGTGGTTCATACAGTAGTTGAAGGACATTTTTATCTGCATTTTTGGAACTAGTATAAACTTAATCTGCACACATCCTAGGTGCAAAAATAAATTTTCATTTGTTTTACATAAATAATTAAGAAGTTGGAATGCTAGGTCATATGGAATGTGCCTATTATTTTAGCTCTTTCCCACAGTATTATGCCCTATCTTTGTTTCATTCTGTCAGTGCTTTGTATTTCAATTTGGATAATTCTTGTCGAGCCAGCAGGACTCTTCCTCTTTTTTTGTTTTTTTTTCCTATTATTTTCTTTCATGCTTACCATTTCTATCTCTATGCCGAAATTAAGGTATTTTCAAACAATTTTTACCATGTCAGTTACTTTATTGAAATTCGTGGAAATTCACCCAGTATTCTATATAATACTTTGAATTATAGTTCAGTCTATCAATTTATAAAACAGGTGTTGTGCTACTTAAAATGTGCATAACAAGTTAAATTGTTTTTATAATATAAGGGATTACAGGTAATAATGAAAGAAACAAATTCTAACAATTTGACTTACTGAAAACTATTTCCTCTTTGAACAGATTTATAAAACCTTGAACATTCATGTGGCATTGGCTGGCCTTGAAATATGGTCATCTGGAGACAAGGTAGAAATAGCGTCAAATCTAGAAACTGCCTTATTGCGTTTTTCAACTTGGCAAGAAATAGTTCTCAAAAAAAGGAAAGATTTTGATCATGTGATTTTACCGAGGTATATGGATATTCTATTTTTCTTCACATATTAATGTGATTATTCTTATTGAAAAAGA